AAGAAAAAGAAATAAGCACAACACTTTTCTAAAACTGGAATGCTAAGAAAATCACGTATGACAAGTTTGGGGCAGTTTTCTCTTGTGCGTCTTAAAAATTTGGCCTAATGTTCATACTGGGAAACAACAGAAAAAGGTGCTTTTACAATGCTTCCAAGAGTGTATACAAAGCCCCATGATCTGGTGGAGGGAAATCTCCTTACACTATTTTATGCTTAAACTGATTTTTTTCCCTTATAATTTCCTATCCTCCTACTCTCTTGTGCACCTGGGATTTGGGGCTGCAAAAACAGTCAGATGCAAGGAGCCAGACGTGGAATAACTGGGTTGCAGATGAACTGGGAGGGAAAATCTTAGGTAAGTCGAAGAGAAAACCACTTGGTTGAGTAATTAAAACCATTCCTTCCCAAAGGGTTCCCCAGATGGAGGCAGCTCAGCAGCAGTGTTGGGCCAGGATTTGAAGAGCCTGGCTTTCAGAGGATTCAGCTTGGAACCCCCAAACCACTGACAGGAGAGGTTTAAGCTCAAACAGATTATCCACATTATTTCTTTCAGGCTGTTTTACTTAAAAGGAGAAAACAACCCATACAATTTCCTACTTACCAGCAAATCAACCACCCCCCTGATCGTTAATTTACCTGAACAACTTCTATATATTTTTCTCCTTTGGGTTGAGAAGATACTGGAAAGGCCTTGAAGAGCTGCAGGTGGAATAAGAGCAGAAGTGGGAGCACCTTCAGACCGGGCATGGCCTTCCCTCCAAGCGCCAGTTCCCCTGGCCTTCCGCTCTGCCGCTCTGGGTAGGGTCCTTCCCCGGGGGTGGGGGGGTGCCCAGACGTTCACAGAATCACGTATGTGTCCCTCGCTGCTCTCTTGGTCCCTGATAAAGCTGTGTCTTAAACAATTGCCACAACGGGAATGTGAAGAAACACAGGTTAATTATGCTCTGACAATTTTGCAATGTTAAAATGTGACTTAGTACCCGGCCAATGAAGGAGTCTTTCAACAGGAAAACAGTGCAATTTACTACACTTTGCTTTTGGGGTTTTTAGTTAGATATTAACTTTTGCAAAATCGTCTGTTCAAGGAAAAAAAAATAGAGGTTAATTGTGAAGTTATGAACAGCAGTCATCTACGGCTGGCACGTATACCGGGGAATATTGTTTGTTAGTGGTAGGTAACTTGGGACCAGGAAGCCCAATTTGAGAGCCTCTGCACTCACCACCCTTGCTGTTTGTGAGGGGTGTGTTGGGAGTGTTGTCACAAAGCAGGATTTGTATGGGGGTCTCGGAGCAGCTCTGAAGGTTGTGGTTCTGGCATCAATGTATTAGAAAATCCCTCGCCCTAACCGGTTTGGCTCAGTGGATAGAGTGTCGGCCTGAAGACTGAGGGGTCCCAGGTTCGATTCTGATCAAGGGCATGTCCCCAGTAGGGGGTGTGCAGGAGGCAGCTGATCGATGTTTCTCTCTCATCGATGTTTCTAACTCTCTAGTTTCTAGCTCTCTATCTCTCTCCCTTCTTCTCTGTAAAAAATCAATAAAATATATTTTAAAAAAAAAGAAAGAAAGAAAATCCCCAACCTGCAAGCTGGATTTTCCACAGGAAAGACAAAGAAAGCAATACTGATGATGATAATAATCGACATTGATTGGATATTTATTATGTCCCAGAATATGTGCTGTACCTATATCACCTCAGGTCACCCTCACACAGCCTTGGAGGTAGGTGCTATTATAATCTGTATTTTGCACAGGAACTCAAATCTGGAGAAGTGAGGTGACTTGTATAAGAGTCACACACTATGATTGTAGGGGAGCCAGTGTTCAATCCAGGTGGAATGTTTAGGGAGACAGAGCCTACGCTGGTATATTAGGCTGTTTTATAGTCTCTACTGGGGGTTCGGCTGGTCCCTAATAAGCAATAGCTCCAGGCCAGCAATAACTGGGATACTGTGGCTTGTGTTCCGAGAGGAGTCGAACAAGAGGGAGAATGAGACTAAGTGGAGTATTTGCAGACAATGTGGCTACATAAGGGGCTGTATTGATGAGGGGCCCTTGGGCATGCTTTTCAAATTATGTCACTTCTTCCTACTTATTCTAACTCTACATGCATGTAAATTATGTTACCTTACCATACAGTTTTTGTATATATTCATTTACATATATTCTAAAGGGCATTCTTTATGTATTCTTGTATATAAGTCTATACTAATAAAAAAGGGTAATATGTTAATTAGACCGGATGTCTTCCAGATGTCCTTCTGGACAAAGCCATGGTGGCGGGGGCTGAGGCAGAGGCAGTTAGGGGCAATCAGGCAGTCAGGGGAGAGCAGTTAGGGGTGATCAGGCCATCAGGGGAGGGCAGTTAGGGGCAATCAGGCTGGCAGGGGGGCTGTTAGGGGGCTATAGAATAATGTGTCTGGGGTTAGAACATATCTGGAGAGCAGATTAATGTTCATGATGTAGATTCCTGCATTCACTCAATAAACATTTCCTGCTATCTACCATATGCCAGGTGCTGTGATGGATAATAGGTTATTGGAGATCAGTGAATAGTAGTTCAGATAAAATGCTGTCTGAAGGAAAGAACAATGGTGGGGGGAAGTGCAGTCAAGGGAGGCTTCATGATGGAGGTAGAATTTGAACTGAACTTTGAAGGAGAAGTAGATTGTGAACATGTAGAGTTGTGATGGTTCATCCCCTGTACACATGTGGTAGCTCCCCTCACCCAAGTTCAAGATGTTCTAAGGTCATGTTCTTATTATCCCCAAATGGGGGCACAGCTTAGTCATGATGTGGCTTCTTCTATATCAGGTCTTTCCTTACTGAATAAGAATGTCTTAACATTGGTCTACTTTATGTTGAGTTATTTTGATGCACTGACTTATTTATAAGATTTGTAAACATAGTTTCTTCTTAACATAATGGTGATTTAGATAAGAATTCAGCATTTTGGTGAACTCAGTTCTCTGGCATGTTGTGTTAAAAACAGAATTGTTGGGTCTGGATCCCTGACAACAGGTCCAGCTCGAATGGTGTGATGGAGAAGGCCATGTTCGTTTCCAGGGCCTCCAGCTTCTGCTTTCTGAATCCTTTCTTCACATCTGACCAACACCTGCCTGCACTGTGTCTGTGCCTTACCCCTTCTGATGCCCGGGACTCAGAGTTCTCTAAGGCCATCTTCTGGAAATCCTGCATCTGGGAGAGGATCAACTATGTCATTTACACCTTAGTGTAAGCTTAGGGCTATTTTCTTTTAAGCCACTTTCTTACTAGGGAAAAAACCAAACCAAACAAGCAAATCAAAAACACAATAAAGCAAAAACCATTGTTTCCAATTGCTATCTACCATATGCCAGGTGCTGTGATGGATAATAGGTTATTGGAGATCAGTGAACAGTAGTTCAGATAAAACGCTGTCTGAAGGAAAGAGCAATGGTGGGGGGAAGTGCAGTCAAGGGAGGCTTCATGATGGAGGTAGAATTTGAACTGAACTTTGAAGGAGAAGTAGATTGTGAACATGTAGAGTTGTGATGGTTCATCCCCTGTACACATGTGGTAGCTCCCCTCACCCAAGTTCAAGATGTTCTAAGGTCATGTTCTTATTATCCCCAAATGGGGGCACAGCTTAGTCATGATGTGGCTTCTTCTATATCAGGTCTTTCCTTACTGAATAAGAATGTCTTAACATTGGTCTACTTTATGTTGAGTTATTTTGATGCGCTGACTTATTTATAAGATTCATAAACATAGTTTCTTCTTAACGTAATGGTGATTTAGATAAGAATTCAGCATTTTGGTGAACTCAGTTCTCTGGCATGTTGTGTTAAAAACAGAATTGTTGGGTCTGGATTCCTGACAACAGGCCCAGCTCGAATGGTGTGATGGAGAAGGCCGTGCTTGTTTCCAGGGCCTCCAGCTTCTGCTTTCTGCATCCTTTCTTCACATCTGACCATCCCCTGCCTGCACTGTGTCTGTGCCTTACCCCTCCTGATGCCCGGGACTCAGAGTTCTCTTAGGCCATCTTCTGGAAATCCTGCATCTGGGAGAGAATCAACTATGTCATTTACAGCTTAGTGTAAGCTTAGGGCTATTTTCTTTTAAGCCACTTTCTTACTAGGGAAAAAACCAAACCAAACAAGCAAATCAAAAAACACAATAAAGCAAAAACCATTGTTTCCAATTAGTTTCAGAGAAAGGAGGAAGATAAAGAAAACTTAGTTTCAGTGCTGGTCACTG